CTGCACTGGAACTTTTCCCCCCAATAGTTATTTTTCAAAATTATGCAATTCTTTTCTTATCCCTTAAATAGTTTTTAAGCTTTTTGATGAATTTTTTTAGCTTTTTCAATTAAGAGTAATTTTTTGAATATCCATTTTGTGCTAATTGTTATATTAAGCAGGAAATTCAGACAAGACATAGTCTTTCCCCATAAATAGTTTCTAATCTATGAGAAACTTAAGACAAGTATATACTTAAAAAAAGGCAAAAAACTGAATATAATTAGTACCATGGCAGCAAGACACATGCTGTCTTAAATATTTTGTTGAGAGGAAGAATAGAACCATTATTTCCTGACTATGTCAGTCTGAAGTAATTTCTTTATTTTCTGTTGGGGATCAAGTAAGGATGGGACCCTCCTTAGTTTTGTGAATCATTCATTCAAATATATATTGGATTAATATAGTATATACATTAAATGGAATATTATTCATCTAAAAAATAAGGAATTTCTGCCACATGCTAAAATATAAATGAAATTCGAGGACACTATGTTAAGTGAAATAGCTCAGTCACTAAAAGACAAATGCCATGTGATTCAACTTACATGAGATACTTAGAGTAGTCAAAATCATAGAGACAGAAAGTACAGTGGTGGTTGCCCAGAGGACGGGGGAAGGAGGGAATGTGAAGTTACTGTTTAATGGATAAAGTATAAGTTTTACAAGCTGAAATAATTCTGGAGATGGATGGTGGTGATGGTTATACAACAGTATGAATATATTTAATGCCACTGAACAGCACACTTAAAAAATGGTTCAGTTGGTAAATTTTATGTCATGTGTTTTTACCACAATAAAAAATAAGAAAAAATAAAATAAAACTCATATTGAATTGTACTGTATTCAGTACTAGGGAAGAAATATTAATGAACTCATATTCCAATATAGAAGACAAAAATGTAATCACATAACAGCAGAGTCAGCTAGGTCCTTTATGTGGTCTGCAAAAAGTGCTAGGGTAATGTGGATGCGGAAATGAGGGTGTGGGTAGCATTGTCCTCAGTGAGTGGAGGAGGCAGGGGTTAGGTAAAGGGTAGAGATGTCTTTTAAAACTTTGTAGAAGAGTTGACATTTGAGTTGGCCTTGAAAGGTGAATAAACATTATTGGAAAGATATCAAAGAAGGTATTTCAGACAGAGGAAAGGAGGTAGTAAAAGGATGGAATTTTGATAAACTGAGAAAAGTTATCTTTGGTTGAATCATAGACCTAATGAAGGAGGGAGATAGGAGATGATGTCAATGAAACAGTTATGTGGAGATTACACTATTCACCCACCACGCTAAAGAGTTTGGATTTCATTCTGAATCAATGGTGCTAACCAGAAACGGGCTTAGAATCACTTGTGGAGCTTTGAAAAATACGTATGCCCATATTTCTCCTGGGAGATTTGATTTAGTAGGTCCAGAGTGGAGTCTAGGTTTGTGCATGTTGTCAGAGCTCTTCAGGTGATTCACATGTGCTCTCTGAAACATTATTGTAGGTAAGAAGACATTATTAGAAGTTTTGTTTTTAAGGTGAGAGACATGCTGAGGTTCACTAAGATCGCTCTGAGGGCAATATGATGAATGACCTGGAGAGTGTAGGACCTGAAAATAAGGAGATAAGACAGAAGGCTCTTAATAGCAGCCTGAATTAGGACAGTGGCAATAGGAAGAAAGGAGAGAAGTAGATTTGAGAGGCATTTAGAAAATCAAAATAATTGGACTTGGTGGCCAATGAGATGCTGTTGGTAAAGGAGGGAGAAATCAGAGATGGCGGTCAGATTTCTCTATCAGATAACTAGGTGATGATGGATCTATTAACTGAGATTGCAAAGGCTGACATAGGCACTAAATACAATGTCTGACAGATTGACTGTCAAAGAGTAGGTACTCAATAAATGTTTGTTGAATGAATTAAAAAGTCCTAATAAATCAATGATCATAATTGTGAATGAAAAAAATGAGTAGTTAAGGGTAGGTTTATAGAATCTTCTTTATTGTTAGTTTTTGACAAATCTAGCTATCTGGGGGAAGGAGGTTGTGGAAAAAGACATGAAAAGCAGAGAAAAACAGCATCCAATACACACACACACACACACACACACACACACACACACACACACACACAAAAGACTGGAAAATTTAGGCTGTGTTCTTGAAACAATGGATGGTTTAGTTTGCCTCTAGAATAATAAGAGTGAAGCTATGAAGATATAGAGGAATCATGATGAGGTATGTCTGAAAGTCAAGCTGAGGAAATTTTAATTAATTCAGAAGGCAATGACGAGTCATGACTTTAGGGCACAAGTCTTCCATGTTCTTTAAGATCAAGTACTTTTGGAAGACTAACACGTAGCAATGGGATAGTGTAGATTAGAATAAGAAGAAATATAAAAAGAAAAAGATCAGTTAGAAGGTTCCTATGGTGGTAGAAGCAAGAAATAAGAAGAAGGAATTGAGTAAGGATGGTCAAAAAGGAATGAAAAGACAGGAGCAGATTCAAAGGATACTCCGAGAAAATTAATATGTATGATTAAGCCCCAGACTGGAATGGCTGGAAGTTGTAGCTGGATTCACACTGAAATGGCTGGAAGTTCTAGCTGGATGACAGAGTGTTATGGTCGCAATGAACAGAAATATTGATGTCAAGGAAGTGAGCAGTTTTAGGTGAAGATAATTCAGAGGCACCAGCTGTGTGTAGAGGAGGAGAAATATTCCAGACCCCTGGAAATGCAAAACTGCAGTTTAGAGACAGACCAGGGCCAGAAATTCAAATATGGGAGCCATCTGGTATAAGTGATAATGAAGTTGTGTGAGTAGACAAGATGGTCAAGGAAACAGAACAGGCCCAAGAAAAAAGTCACGGGAGCACACCTATCCTTGGCCCTGTCTGTTAGATGGGTGAACTCTTGGAAGAAGAAAAAGAACTGGTCAGAGAGAGACAATCTTGAAATCTTGAAAATGTGCCCCAAAGAAGATTGGGGACAAAACTTTGAAAGGAAAACGTAGGTCAATAAAGTCAATTAGAAAATCTGAGGTAGAGGAAGGCTGAGTTAGGGCAAATGGGTCTATTGTCAGGTGAGGAAGCATCAGTGTTGTTGAAGCCAGTTTGCCTGGGGTTACAGAGGAATAGCATGAGGAGGATATGAAGAAGCTTAACATTTTCCAATCATTTTTGTAGAGGCAAGAGATTGATAGCATGGCTGATGGTGGTATTGCCAATGTACAATGAGCTCAATGTACGCTTCCATGTATTCTCAATAGTCAAATAATTTTCACTGAAACAATAGGGCAAGAAGAACGATTGGTATAAAAACATTGAAGACAAGATCCTGAAGTCCTACCCTTTTTCAAGAACACTTCCAGCTTGGGAGTGCTGCGTCTCAACACTGCATCTCAACATTCCAGAGAGGAAATAGTCAAGGTTAAAATTATCATATTGCATGGCAATATGTGTGCCAGAGCTATGTGTCTCATTTAACTAGATGCCACACACTATTATTTGAACAAAGCCTTTTGTCACTAACTTGAATGCTACTCTTATCATAAATTCCCATATAGATTCATGTCTATCTTTGGACTCTCCATCTCATTCCACTGTGTATCACATCTGCTGGCATTTAATTGAGATTGCCTCAAATTTATGAATTAATTTGAGACTAGGCATCTTTACAATTTTCAGTTTGCTGAGAAGAAGGTTACTTAGGCCATTTTCTATAGCCCGTGGAAGGTAATTATTTTTTCATATACATCTTAAACTTATCTTTTTCAGCTTGTAACTGTATTTCTTGAATTGCTATTGTCAATAGTATTATTTCTTGCATTGTAAGTATGTATGCATGTGTAAATAAGAAGTCTTCTCAAGTGCACAATTAAAATTTGAAAAGCAAATTGAAGCTTTTAATAGCATCTGACCCTCTCTCAGCCAGTACACATGTAAAGAAGTCATTTTGGATACTATTATCAGAAAAAACAAGCAAGTAAACACAAGAATGCTGCTTGTTTTACCTATGTATTATAAAAGTTTCCTTACATAAGACATACAGTGACTACAGTTACAGTTAAAATGTGGTATTTGTTCACTCAGTCCTGGTCACCACCAGTGGGAGCTCCATTTCTCTCCTAATATTACATACAACCCTATCTAGAGTCTGGCTCTTTCCACAGAATAAATGTCCCCTTTCGCTCTGCTGTTTAAATTCATGATCATTGTCCTTGGCTCTTTAGTGTCTCATCTCAAGGTGAGACAGGATGAAGGAAACTACAGTCACAGTAGTAAGCCCCCCACTGCAAATCTCACTCATCAGGGACAAAGGTATTTTCAGATAGTTTGATGTAGCTATGAGTCAGAAAGGGGTTTCGTTTTATTTTATCCCTCATTTCAGTCCTTTGAAACTTTTCAGTTTGAATAACCTATTTAACAAAGCTTCTAGATAAGGGGTCCCAAACTATTTCGGTACATGGCCAGATAGAAAATATTTTAGGCTTTACAGGCCATATGGTTTCTGTTGCAACTACTTAACTCTACTATTGCAGTGTAAAAGCAGTCAAAGACAATAAGGAAATGAGCCTGGCTGTGTTCCAATAAAAGTTTATTTACCAAACAAATGGTGGGCCAGATTTAGCTATAGTTTCTAGATCCTTATTTTAGACCAGTAAACGTTCAAATTATTTACTATTTATATTTTTAAAAATCAAGGGTAGTGCACTAGTTTTTATGGAAGTAAGAATAACAAGATAAAAAACACCAGAATGAACAAAATGAAGAAAAATCACCAAAATGATTTCTTATCAATCCCTAAATAATAGGCTGAGCATAAACAGCATTTTTTGTGTGTTTTGTGAAGCACAAGTTGGGTTGTAGTATATGATAAACACACATAGGACATTGCAATATGGTCATTACTTTAGGGAGAAAGAGAGGGCTGTATGGACAACCATCATTATCAGTAATGGGAATATTTAATTTAACTTACCAATCTTGTACTGCATTGAAGGATTCTTCATTTGTAATGTCATACATTAAAATAAAGCCCATGGCCCCACGATAATAGGCTGTGGTAATAGTTCTGTATCTTTCCTGGCCCGCTGTGTCCTAAAAAACAAATGTGATAATCTCTCAGAAATCAGGCAATATATTTTGGGGGAGGTAATCAATAATTCCAAAAATAGTCATTTACAATAAAGCCTAAAGTGTACTTGCAACATATAGCTATCTATCTTATTTAGTCTTGTTACTCCTAATGATTTTAAAAATAATTTCAAATTTTTACTGATACATAACAGAAGCACATATTTTTAGAATACGTGTGATAATTTAATACATTCATACAATGTGTAAAGATCAAATCACTGTAATCAGGTTACCCATCACCTTGAATATTAGTCTTTTCTTTATGGTAGAAACATTCAAATTATTCTCTTCTAGCATTTTAAAACATACAATAGGTTATTGCAAACTAACATTATCCTGCCGATCTATCAGATGTTAGGTCTTATTTTATCACACTTATATTTGTACTTCAAAAGACCAAAACTAAAAATGTTTGTGTTCAAGAGGGAGTTAAACAAGAGCAATGGGTACAAAGCTTAAATAAATAGTAACAGAAAATTTTCCAAAACTTGAGCACAGTAAGTTCAGAGAACAGATTTGACCCAAATACTATTAGGATTACACGAAGAAGTTCATGTCATGTACCTCCCGCAGAGAGTAGCACACAAAAAGTGGTAAATAAATGGCAAGCACTGGTTGTTATGTCTGAAATGTGAGGAGACAAGGTTAATACACAGAGAAATAGCAGCTTCCAAGTACAGGGGTTCAATGACTGAAAAAGAGATGGCATATAACAATTAAATTTTGGAATTAGAAGAAGACACTTCCCCAAAATGGTCTCAACTCTTGTTCTTTCCTCAGGATCTGTGTTATCACTTATAATTCACATGCTTTTCAGTTTCCCCCTTTGCCAACTTCCCTGGAGGCAGGGGTCTGATTTCTCTTTCATAGAATGGGGTAAGTGCTTAGTATTTGGGGTAAAACTGTTATCTTCTTTTTGACTTCCGTCTGAATTCTCTTTCTCCCCTTGCCCTAGAGATGCCTCATTTGCATACAGAGTGTATCCAGCTCCCCCTAAGATCTACTTGGATGGAAAGCTAATGTGTTGAATGACCCAAGAACAGTTCCCTTTACATTCAAAATGTGATGAACATCTCATGGGGTCACTAACGGGCCAGACCCATGCTGGATATGCTGTTTTTCACACATAGGTATCCTTCTGCTTGGATGTTTATGCCTCACCGTGGACAATAGTGAGAAACTGGCTAGTTTATAACTCTCCTAATTTGTGTGGCATATCCTATCCTTTTTGGCTCCTGTATGTTCAAAGAAGGGTGATCAAAGTAGGTTGGCTTTTTCTCTTGGTAACATATTTTTCTGGCATTGATTGAATAACATTCTTACAGGTTGGGGACCACATGCCTCCTATTTTCTTTGCACTACAATATACAGCTTTCCCCTAATTTCTCAGTAGAGGAAAACAGACAATATATTCAGACACTGCTAAAAGGTGACCCAGACCTTTTCTGTCAAGCATGTTTTCAACAGACACTGAATAATGTTATGTTGGAAAACTGTGACTTCTTTCTTTCTTCTTCACATCTTCCAGTGATGGGGTCCCTCTTTCATAAGATGTTAAGCTTATTTTGACAGTAAAGAAACTTGTTCTATTGTTCCAAAATGCATCAATTTCATATTGTGGATGTATTTACTCTTTGACAGACAAGAAATCAAGGCCCTATTGTATTGTGATTGAAATTTTATAGGAAACTGCTAGAAACCACTGGGTTGGTAGCTATTATGTATCAAAATTAAAAAATAGAGAGGGGAAAACCAGTGTTCAAAGGAAAAAAAAACAGAAGCTTTCAGTTAGTACTTAAAGACACAGCAAGGGGCAAGATCTTCAACAATATTCTGATTTGAACCCAGAAGCACAATCTAATTGAAGATGCTTATCCCAAGAAATTGCACCAAGCAGAGAAAGTATCGTAAAAAATAAAAATAAAAAAATTTCCTCTTCAAATGCAAAATAAATAAATAAATAATAAAACTAAGCTAATAAACACACACCAAGTAGACTCTGTTTTGAATCTGAAAACAATTTAAAGATTACAAACTCATTAGCATTTTCTTCTGTTATATCAGGAAAAAAAGAAGTCAGAAAAACACTTAATTACATTTGACATTTACTAATGATGATAGAACGTTATGCTTGAAAGAAAAAAAATTATAATGTCAAGTGCCACCAATGTAATTATATGTGAACAGTCTCAGGTAACTGACTAAAATGGTACCTCTTCTCAATTTGCTCAGGAAATTTGCTCGAAACCCTGGCTTTAAGTTGTTCCTCTCCCCAGTTGACTCTAATAACTGAGTATACCTGCTGGTTTTCTATAAATGCAGGTTTCTGGTGATTGAAAAACACAACTGGAAATCTTGTATAGAGAAAATGAGGGATAAAAATGTGATTAAAAGAGAAAAATTTGATTCCATGAGTGATAGCTTTCATTTTAGTCTTTTTAAAAGAAAAATAATTTTGTTAGTTTAAATATTTTGATTTCCCAATCATGATTTTAGGAGAAGTTTTTGGCATTAATGGTAGGTTTGATAATCAAATACTTGAAGATCTGTCAAGAAAAAACCGTAAAATGGAAAACATTTACAGTTTGATAAGTATAGCTTAGAACATTTGCCATTTGAATTCTGATATTCTTGTCTTTGTTTTTGCCTTAAAATTTTTTTTCTTTCAGTATGTACTGAATTCTCAAACACATCTGGAGTCATACAGAAATAGTACAAACTTTTAAGATTGAGAAAACAGCTTTTATTTCTAAAGTATGGGTTATATTGTAATTTGTTTTTTTATTTTAGTGATTACTTCTCTCTGTATTGAATTAAAGGGAGAATGGCAGTAACCATTAGCAAAGAAATATAACTCAAATAATATCACTACAATCAAAATGCATTTATTGAATGTCTAGACAAAGAAAAATAGATTGAAGGACGACAATCCCGGAATATGACAAAACAGGAAATTTTTTAGGTGGAGAAACAAAATAAAACCACATTGGTGTCAAACTATCAGCAAAAGTAACTTAATTAAGCTACAGAACATAATATGTAATAACCCAAAAGGGGAAGTCAACAACAATAGCATTCAGGAACATTGTAATCCAAGATATAAGATGTACTTAATAGTGAGTTTCCAAATGGACTCAAAGATGTGACATGAAATAAACACTCAGTCATTAAGCATTTAAGTAAGTAGAGATCTTTTAACTGATACCTTGTTATTTTTTACCTGAAGGAATCATTTCAAATCATTGAAGGAAGATTAAGTTATGCTTAGTATAGTTTAATACTAACATTGATTCATTCAGTAGTCATTTAGCGAACACCTATTAGAAGTTAGGAGCTATGATAGGTATACACTAAATTTGTCTATTCTAGACATATTTATATATTTTTAAAACTTTAAGAGTATTTCATCAATCAGGATACCATATATCCTACATATCTAGAAGAAATTGAAGTTGTTAAAAAACTTTTACTAGGGAACCAGACAGTAAAGATAGGCTCAGTACCACTGAGCCTATCATCTCCATTACAATCAAATTTAATACTAACATTGATTCATTCAGTAGTCATTTAGCAATTTAATTGTAATGGAGATGATAGGCTCAGTGGTAAAGTCCTCCAATTCATAGTTACTGTTATAGGTTGTATTGTGTGACGAACTCACCCCAAAACCTGTGAATATGACCTTATTTGAAAACAGGATCTCTGCAGACGTGACCATAGTTACAGTAAGGACATAACAGATTAAGGTGGGCCCTAATCTTTATAAAAAAAAAAATCAGACACAGAACACACAGAGGAGACCATGCAAAGTCAGAGGCAGAGACTGGAGTGAAGCATCTATAAAACAAAGAATGCCAAGGATTGCTGGTAACCACAAGAATCTAGGAGAGAGGTATAGAACAAATTCTTCCCTAGGGCTTTCAGACAGGTCATGGCACTGCTGAGCCCTTAATGAAGGACTTCCAACTTCCAAAACTGACACAATACATTTCTTTTGTGTGCTAAACACCCAGCTTTTGCTACGTTGTTACAGCAACCCTAGAAAACTAGTACATTGATCTCGGCTTGCAGTGTTCATGATCAGGGTAAAAGTGACATAAATTTCAGAGTTATCCACACATCCCTATTGCTTTACAGAAGAAAAAAATAAAGAAAACAATTAAAGGTAGTCTATGGAGAAGTCTAAAGCAGTCTCACTGTGTGAAGTTAAGAAAGATGCTATACCAAAATGCACTACCATATTCCACTATGTAAAATTAATTCTTAAAAAAAAAAAATGGTTTGACATATCTTGTTACTTTAAAAACTAGATCTCTTTCTCTCTTCTAATACATACATGTCTTATTAGAAGGACAGAACAATGCTGTTTGATGAGATAAAGTTATACTTTGCTTCCAGTTATAATTTCATCCTCACATGATTAAGATAGTTACAGAAAAATTTAAAGATGTAATGTACACTGAGACACAGCTCCCCCAAACAACATAAACAACAAAATACTGATCATCATACATCACTTTGTTTCAGCGATGTTACTTGCCCCAAGTTGCATTTTAATTTCCGTAAATAAGCATAAAGCAGCAGTGAATCTAGTATTTTAAAAATAGTAAGCAAAATAGGAAGTTTAAATATTTTATGCTTTCTTGTTGCATATTTATTTTGAGAATGAAATAAGAACCTTTTTCCTTACTAATCCTCCATTAAAATAAAATTTACAAGCCACTTTCCCAACTGATCTTGTGCAAACAGTCAGTTCACTTTGAATTCATTTACGCACGTTTAGTTATACAAACATCTGTAAAACCAGCCCACATTTTAGAAGAGTACTAACAAACAGACAATTTAACTGTTCTCCCTACCTATTGTTCTTTATCCATTCTCTTCACACCAGTGGATTTTATTGATCAGATTTTTCTTGACATGATGTTTAGCTTTGAAATACCAAAAAGCTTCATTCTACA